AAGTTGCAGTGAGCCAAGATCGTGCCCCTCCACTCCAGCCTAGGCAACAGAGCAAAACTCCATCTTCGGAAAAAAAGAAAAAAAAAAAAAGTAGACTGCCTATGCCAAGAATGCCATAAGGCTTAGGGAGAAGAGAAGTCACATTTTAAGAGAGTTCAGCTTTGGTTGTCCTGGTTCATTCATCACACATTTAAAAATATGTAAGTTGAAGAGGTTTCAGTGGGCCTGAATTCTTGGGTGTGGGTCCCAATCATTTCACTAGCATGGAAGCCCGGAGTACCCTTATTCCATAATCTTGGGTATAATTTGGGTTGGGGAAGCCAGTTGCCCAATAACCTGAGGATGATAAGCTAGAGATGTTAGCACGACTGCTGTTAGTGGGCTTGCATTCTCCCTCACTTCCCCCCAGGCCCATTGGGTCACTAGGTCTGGTAGCCACTGCACATAAGGCTTTGTGCCCACGATCAACATGCTGATATTTATTTATTTCATGTTTATTTTAGAGAAGGGGTCTCGCTCTGTCACCCAGCCTTGAGTGCAATGTCACAATCCTAGCTCACAGCGGCCTTGAACTCCTGGGCTTAAGCGACGCCCCTCCCTCGGCCTCCTAGAGTGCTGGGATTACAGGTGTGAGGCGCAGTGCCTGCCCTCAGCCTGCTCACAGATGCTCCCAGTTCAGCCAGGTTTCCCTGGGTGGCAGTCACTACAGAGCAGAGCTCCTTGGGGCAAAGGGAAGTGTGTTCTTTTCCCTGCTTTCCCGTTCATCTGTTACTCATTCTTCTCTGTCCTGCCTACCCCTGGGTCCACCAAAGGACATAGTGCAAAGCCTGCTTGGGAGGCCTGACACACAACAACCCCATGCCCTGGCCGTCTCTCTTAGGTTTGAAAGGCAAGGAGTAAGGGTGATCTGGTTGCTATCCAAATCCACAAAATCCCGGATGAAACACACTCTTTAACCGCTCCATGCAGCGGGCCCCATGGGCGCTGTGCAGACCAGCCTTGGTGCTGCGTGCACAGGGAAGCTTGCCCCTTCCAAGCCAAGTGCCGACCCAACAGTGCATTAGCGTTTCTCAAGTTGGACTGGGCTTGTCTGCCTTGCTTTGTCCATGGATGCAAACACTGCTCTGGCCTTCCTCTCTCTGCCTTTCAATACTCATGTGGAGCCTGTCCCATTACAAAACCAAGGTTAAACATTCCAATAAAACCAAGGGCACCTCCGAGTTCTCCGATAGCACTGGAGCACCCTTGTACATTATGTTCTTTCACAGAATAAAGAAATGTGACTCGTTCCTGGAGACTGGAAGTCACCTCAGGAAACTAAGGATTTGATAGGAGTGGGATTTCCTATAATGAGATCAGACCCCTAGTGGGATCTGACCCACTGTGGAAACAAGGATGCCTGTCCTCTAGCTTAATCCAAGATGGCTTAACCTCTTCCTTGGGATTATTATAATATGTTTCTGACAGGCAGTGTGCTATCCTCTGTAGAAAGAGCTTTAGAAAATTCCCACTCAAGCTCTCGACAATGTCATATGCAACAGGCGTCTCCCCACCCAACTGGCTGGGTTGGCTTCTCCCCTCGGTGGCTCTCCTTCTGCACCAGAGCTAGGAATCCACTGTCTGTTAGGATAGGCAGGGCACACTGGCCAGGACCCTGGCTCTATGGCACCAAGGAATTTAGGACCAGAGTTTTAAAAGTTAGGAAGAAAGCATGCACAAATGACAGAAGATCCTGAAAGTACAGCCTGCAATATGAGTATCACCCACAGACTAGGGTGAGACGCCACCTTCTCCAAATCAAAAGCAAGGGTTGAAGGAGCTGCTGAGATCTGTGGGGAGTTTATATGATTTGAACTAGGTATTTCTGATGCTTCTTCAAACACTTTTACACTCCTTGAGAACAGAGCTCTTCCTTAAGAAACACGGGAACATTAGCTCCTCCTATAAGCCTGTTTCTATAATCATGAAAGTGGGGATTTAGGTTTACTAACCAGACAAAACCAGCCCTGAACTTTATCCATCTGAAATGAGAAATCTAGGAATGATGCTTTGGTCTGACAAAGCCTAGATTCTTAAGGAGAAATAGTGATCAGCCTAGTAGGCGGATTTATAAACCCGTATCTACTTTGAGTGAAGAAGAGAAGGAGGAATAAACATTAGAAATATTTTATTCATTGTGCCAATATCACTTCCAACCTCGCAAAGGGAAGCTAGTGGGGGTTTAAGGCTTACAAATGTCACTTGTGCTTCTTGCCATGCTAAAAAGAGAGTGAATTACACTACTTAAGAAACAAACAAACAAACGAAAAACAGCCCATGTGGATTTATGTGTTCTTCCTAGATGGTAACTTTTAGAAAGGATGAATATGTCTGGACCTTCTGGGATACCACAGTCGCCCGCAAGAAAATGAGAAGAGAACTGCAATTATGGTGGGCCAGATATGGGGGGAGTGGGATGAGAACTGGCAGAGCCAGACCCATCCTAGAGGCAAGAGGGCAGTGGCCCTATCCCCAGGCAAATGCAAGAGCCAGGGAGGATCTTTTCCTGCCTGTTCCCAAACTAAAGCAAGAGGAGGCAGAAGAAATGGGGCCAAACGGAATGCAGAACTCACACTCTCTAAAAATAGGCAGCTTGTGGCCAGAGTCAGTTTCAGCATCTTCCCAGGAGTGGAAGGCGGGACAAGGGGCCTGAACCCTCTGATGCAGAAGCAACCAGGAAGCCTTCAAGCTTGGCTGGCATGAGGGTCCCCAAGTCCCATGAAAGAGGTGGGGGGTGAGGGGCACAGCTTACATCCCTGGGTCTGCTGCCCAAAGGCTGAAAGGTGGACTAGGCAACCGGGCTTGCACATAGTGGGGAAATGTCAGGGGCGTGTTGTGTGCTGCTGTTTTGGGAAAAGGTGAGAAGTGCCTAAGAGCTTGCAGCCCATAGATAAAAGGCTCTCAAGACCCAGCAGGCTCCCTGACGTTGGCTTCCCATTCAACCTTGCCTGGTGCGAAAGGATACCATTGGGCAAACTTCCTCGAGCCAGGCAGCCTTCCTTCATTACTGATAGGAAGATGGGAAAATTAATAGGGGTAATATGAGCTCATTTCAATAATAATGAGCTCATGAACATGCCAGGTTTTGATCTTTTCTGATGCATGGATTCCTGGCAGGAACTACGGTCCTACGTAGGTAGTTGAAAGAACTGAAAATAGACTTTTAAAAAAAGGCTCTAAACAACAATAAAAAAGAAACCACCCCAATCACAAACCTAAAACAACAATGAAAAAAAAAAAAAAAAAGCCTTAAACATTGCTTCACCAGTTAAAAAAAAAAAAGGAAAAAATTTGGACTGACATAAAACACTTTTTTCCCTTCTTTTAAGTATTGTTTTTAACAGCTTCAAAAGTAATGAATTGTATGTGGCTAAAAATAGATCTGGGGGTAGTGGTTAATGGGGCCTTGTGAATCATTCAGCATAAGGAACTGTCAATATTTTTTTGAGCTGTCAGAAATCCATTTAGTGATTTTCGACAATTCAAAAAAATATTTCTGACCGCTTGATTCAGTTCCTAGTGAATTAGGGAAGAAGAGGAATAAAAGAAATATATCAATCTAAATTATGAACCCAGAGTCTAGCTTCCTGAATTCTGCTCTGTGCTTAAAGGAACAACACGATGTTGAGGTTCAAAAATATTCTCTTCTATTTTCCCCCTTCCTTCCCTTTTCTTTCCTTTCTTCCTTCTTTCCTTCCTCCCTCCTTCCTTCTTTCCTTCTTTCCTTCCTTCCTTCCTTCCTTCCTTCCTTCCTTCCTTCCTTCCTTCCTTCCTTCCTTCCTTCC